AGAAAGAAAGAAAGAAAGAAAGAAAGAAAGAAAGAAAGAAAGAAAGAAAGAAAGAAAGAAAGAAAGAAAGAAAGACAGACAGACGGGCGGGCAGGCGGGCTAGCTTCAATACTGCAGGGTCCACACATGGGGTTAGTTTCTCACTTTATCTCCTGCAACAGCATTATTATTATTATTATTATTATTATTATTATTATTATTATTATTATTATTATTATACCATCACAGTCATGAAGTACAGCAGGGAGGGAGGGAAGAACATTTGGACAGAACTGGGAGAGAATGAAGTCTGGGTCGCCAATCCTGGTAATAAATGGGAGATGGTTTGGTATAGTGGTTAAAGTGCTGGGCTAGAAACCAAAAGATTCTGAGTTCTAGTCCTGCCTTAGGCATGAAAGCCAGATGGGTGACTTTGGGGCAGCCCCTCTCTCAGCCCAACCCACCTCACAGGGTTGTTGTTGTGGGAAAAATAGGAGTTGGGAGAGATTCTGAATGGCTCTCACTAGCGTGCTCACAAAATGAATGCTTGCCATGGTTATAGTGTAACGCAACATAATATAAGGAATTTCTTAACAGATGATTTGGGTTTAAAAAGACTTCGAACGGCTCTTCAGGAACAAGATTTTTTTTTCAGGTCTCCAATGTCACACACATAATTACTTGTTTATTTAGAAGAATTAGAATTCCAAAAAGTAAACAGGAAGCAAAAGATTCTATCAGGCTTGGCAATGTTAAAAATAGCAGGACATAAGAAGCAGGGAAAGTCAAGAGAAAGCACCAGGAGGACAAATGGTATGTGCCCTAAGTTCTTACTGATGTTGGGTCACAAAACCATTTTGTAGAAATTATACACTCAAACTCAGCTATTTGTTAAAAAAGGGATTCCAATTACAACCACTTTTTGCTTTGTTTCCTGCCCAGCATGAGAATTGCACAATCTGAACAGATTAAGAGACGTTCACCAAAGACCTACCATTCACTTTCCAAACCCAGTAAGTTTTAATTCTTCTCACGCTAACCTGTGTCTCTGAAAGGAGTAATACCCCATGCACTGCTACTTCTCATCACTATTCCATCCAGTTCAACTTTTGTCTGTTAAATTTTTGCTATAAAAATTCCTGTAATTTTTAACCCCACGGCCCTGAGAACTGCACATTTCCTCAAGCTGGATAACAGAGCTGTATTTCATTAATGCTATATAAAATGAATTCATATCAAGTTCTCATTAATCCTCAGCTATGGAAACTCACTGGGCAACTTTGGGCCCATCCCACTCTCTCAACCCAACCTTGAGGGTTTGTTGTGTAGTAAATACAAAGGCGGAACACTCTGTCACTCCTTGAGGTCTTGAATAACAGGTGAAATATAAACCTAACACTGTAAATAAATGTTTGCTCTTTCTATTAATTTTTTTCCCCACAACCATCCTGACAGTCACAGATTAAGCTTAGAAATTAGTCAGAGACATAATACATGGAGATGGACACACAACTGACATCTCCGCACACACCATGCTCAACAATGGGGAATGCCCAATCAGGTGGTTTACTCTAAGCCACCATGAATTTCAGGATTTATCAGCAATTTGGACCCATGTCTCTCTGGCACTAAGTCTAACACACTACTCAGACCATAGTCTTTCTCTATATATCCCTTGTTGTTTAGAAGCCCTTTTATTACTGTGCACTTAGGAAAAGCCCTCCCTATTTGGGGAAAACAGCCTGTAACTCTCTTTGGGGTGAGATCCTCTATACACATAGCTAGGAAACTGAAAAAGAGGGGGGCTTTAAAAGCCCTAAATGGATTCCATGGATGTGCTGATGAGATGCCCAGATCTTTAGCTTCTCTGGTGCCATAAGTATAGGTGCTCTCACTGGACCTATCCTAATCAAAGACTTTAGTACAGATCATCCCCTTTATGGGCTCAAGACGGCACACGTTTAATTCTGACAGCTACTTTGTGGACTTAGGTTAGATTAAGTTGATGAGTGATCCAGAGAATGTCATGGCTGAGCAAGGACGATTAATCAGGCATCTGTCTAGTGACAATGCCAAGGCAGATGAGAACCAACATGGCGGAGGGGTGAAGTTGATTGACCAGGATCAAGGAGACCCAGGTTCAAATCCATCCTCTTGGGTGAGTTTGTGCCAGACCTCCTCCATCAGCCCAGCATATCCCACAAAGTTGCTGTTCCGGAAAATAAACCAGAGTTCCCCATATAAGTCACCTGAGAAAGGCAGGATGTAGATCTAACAAATGAACAAGTGTACAAAGTAGTACATTTTGTTGCATGACAGCCTCAAAACTCCCCTCAAAGTAGTCCAAACTGGCCCTACAGGTTTCTCCTCAATTATTTGTTACGCTGTTAGCGTATCAGCACCACCACTCAAGCATTCATCAAAGTAGTCAGGAGTATCCCTGTCATCAATGAAGAAGAAAGTTGCTCTGTGGGAGAAAACCAGTCTGATCTTTTCTTCATGAATACGGGTTTTGCTTGAAAGTCAGAACGAGAATACTCCTTTGTCTGGATAAGGAAAAGGAGAAAAGACTCTGGCACTGTTCGTAAGAAAATAATCTAGGATGGGGCTTCTTCAACTAAATGCTGCTGCATTGCCGAAATCACCTTGACTGCAAGGGATGAGTGTTAAAGAAGAACCTATGAAATCTTTTCCCAAGATCCAAAACAGTTTCATTGCCAATACTACGGCAGAAATCCCCTCCCTCGTCTTATTTGTGATCAACCTACTTTTTCAGAAGTTTAGGATTTAACCAATCCATGAAGCTGTTTTAGATCAACTCACTTCATTTGTCGGTCAATCACAGTGGTCTGACTGGCAGAGGGGCTTGCTGTGGTCTTTCCTGTCTTGCAACCAGAGAACTTCTACGTGGATTTTTCTATGAAGTATATATACTGTACATGCACAATTCCTCTCCTGGAATTACTTGCTATCTACTCTCACCCAGCCTTGCCATCTGTTTTATGCATCCTTCATTTGAAATGCTAATTGCAACAGACAGCTGCAACTTCCAACACACTCTAAGAATGCAACTTCCATTTGCAGCTGGGGTGGGGAGTTGAAATCCAAGACATCTGGAGGGCACCTGGTTGAAGAATGGCCATTTAGAGCAGTGTTTCTCAACCATTGCAACTTTAAGACGTGCGGACTTCATCTCCCAGAACCTCCCATGAAGCATGGATGGACTTCATCTCCCAGAATTCCCCAGCCAGCATATTGAAATCTATCCGTGTCAAGAGGTGAAGTCTGCACATCTTAAAGTAGCCACGGTTGAGAAACACTGTCCTTAAAATAATTGTAGGACTGTCACAAGTGAATTTGGAAACACTTGGTGAGGTAATACAATTGCCCTCCAGCCCAGGAAAGTGAATAATGGGACATAAGAGGCTGGCTTATATCAGGACTGATAAATGGTCCATTTAACTTAGAGCTGTCTATTAGGCTTTCAGAAAGGAGACAAGGTTCCCATATTTTGAGAGTGGTGAGACCCACAAATAAACCTTTGGCCTTCCATATGCAGAATGCATATTCTAATACTGAGTTGTATGGTTCTTTCATCTCCCGCCCATCCCAAAGAAGCATAATATAAAGGTAGGACTTGTTTACAGCTGGTATAAGATTTTCAAATAGACATTTGTTTTTATTTTTCAAACAGCAAATGAGACTACTGGCTACTGCAGTTTGTAACAAAATTGATGCAAAGGATAGGGATTCTGTTATCCTTCCCCTTCCGTCTGCTTTTACCCCTGTAATCAATCCCTTGCCAGTCTTTTGTAGAAAAATAAACCCACAGAAGAGGCAAGGCGATTCATGAAATTGCACACAGTGTACAGTGGTGCCTTCAGTTTGGATTAAAGGGGGGGGGAAACTACAATTTGTTACTGCCATCTAGTGCTGAGTAAGAAGAACTGCTAGTAAAATGATACCAGCACTTCTCTGAAAAACAGAGCATGAACTGGGTGCTACAACAAGGAGTAAGAACACTGGAAGTAAAAAAGGTACTAAACATCCAAGGGTCACCTCACAGGGTCTCCTATCCAGGCAGCTGCAATGCCCAACTAGCTTAGCTTCAGCAACAGAACTGTTTCAAAGCCTTCCAACCCAGCCTCCTCACGAGCTCTGACAGAAGGGATCTGGACTGCCTTGTTGCAGCCCCCGTCAACCCCATACTGTAAACATCTTGCGCGTTTCAAAAAAAGGTTTGAAAGCTCACCAAGACTGCATTGTTGGCAAGCACAGGCAGGCCGCGCTGCCCAAGATGGGAGGGGCTGCATCAACCCGCATATGCCGTATGTGGGAAACAAGACCTGTTTGTTTTTTTCCACTGAGTCACACTGCAGAATTTAACAGAAGAAAAAGGAATTATCTCCTGGATAATTCCTAGGATATTCGCTTGTTTTCAATTAACAACTGATACATACCTAAACATTAACATCTCTTTTTATCTGGGAAAAGAGATTTCCGACCTAGATCCAATACGAGTCCTTAACTGGCAACCAGCACGAGAAAGCTGCACTGCATAATATCCTAGGCTCCCGACACAAAGATCTCATACTGTATTTGTACACATACGGAGGTATGCATGCACACTACGGGCCTTTCCACACCCAAAAGGGTCCCTGAGGCCTGGGAAACTGCTGTCAATCCGAGGGGCGATCTCGATCTTCTTCATGAAAGGAGGACCTGGAGCAATCAGCAGCCTTATGTCGCTAGGAAGCAACATCTAGCAGGAGCTGGAGTTCAGGAGCATCTAGGGCGGCCACCTGTGGCTGCCTAGGTGGGCGCAGGCAGGCTCAGGTAAGAGATGCATGCTGTATGCGCAGGGTTCATAGGGTCTTGGCACTTACCCAGGCTGGACACAAATGCCCTCCTCCTCCTCCTCCTAAAACAGGCTCCACCCAGCGCTATTTATCATCAAGCCCCAGCAGTCTCGGATGACGGCAGGTGCACCTGAGGAGAGGGACGGGGAGAGACAGAGACCCCGATGGCATTCAGGGGAAGCCGGAGGCGGCGGCGGCGGCGGAACCCCGCTCGAACCTGCCCGCAGATTGCGTCATTCTCGGGGATGACGTCGCGGTGACGCACAGCAGCCTCCCCCAACGCGGCGCCCTCCAGACCACCAACATTCTCGGCCCGGGGCGGGGCCAAAGGAGGACGGGCTGTGACGTAAGACGCGGAGGGCGGGGCTCACGCGCCACCCCTCCCCCGCGAATGCGTCAACCTTTCGCCCTCTGTGAGGGACGTGGGGAGAGCCAGTCTTCATCCCTTCACCCCTCGGCTGAGAGCGGAGGCCACCCTGTTTTCCCTTCCCACACTCACCGCGGGCTACCCTCCTGCCGCCCGTTCCCTTCTGCCACGGCCACCCGCTCGCGGGGCTGTCAGCGCAGCTCCTCTTTCTCTCCGCAGGGGCACTTCCGGTCACGTGGCGTCGCGCACTTCCGGCGGGAGCCTAAGGGCCGAAGGTAACCTTGCCGGAAGAGAGTCTCGCGCAGGCGCCGTTGAAAAGGTGGCTTTGGCGGAAGGGAAGCGGCGGCGGCTCGTCCCTGCTGCGTGCGCATGCCCGGGGAAGAGGAGAAGGCGACGCCATTGCGCAGGCGCCAGAGGGCGCTCGGAGGCGGGGGTGGCCGGGAGGTTTCGGCTTCCCGAACCTGCTCGTTAATGTTCCTTGTTAGGGAGTCCGGCTTTGCAGGGCGAAATAAGGGTTGTTTGCGTGGGGTGCGGTTTGCCAGGTGCCCCGTCCCTTGGATGGGCGCCTGCCGGTAAGCCTCGTTCCTGGCGCCGTGGCGAAGCCTGCTTTGCCAACGCTTGCTCGGCACCGTCCTCACGTGCACGCGGGCGCGCTTCGGCTGCGAGCGACGCCTCTGCCGTCGGGCGGCCGCGTCTTAACGGCCCTGCGCTCGCCTTGCGGCTGCCGGCATCGTGCCCTTCTGGCACGCGCGCGTGTGCACG